GGTTTCTGTCGAGCCATGTGTACTGACAGCCGCTTCATCAACTTTATTCGTCACAAGTTTTCTTTGTTTAAATTGACTAATTGTCGTTAGAGTTGACCGTATTATGATTATTAATGACGTCAAGTTGTTTCTCAAATCATGAGATGATCAACAAAAGTTCTTAACCAATTAACACGCGATGACAATTAACGCGTAATAATAAAAACAAATGTGCTGATCTTTTTTTTTCCTTGTGCTGATATTTTTTTTCCTTGCGTATTAATATTCTTTGTCCTTGATATTTTTTTCTTTGCATCTATATATTTTTTTTCCTTTTACGTTAATATTGCAATGATAGGAGGTAAGTTATTGTTTTCTATAAAGTGTTTTGCATTTGAAGAACACCCTTCCTTCGTGGGAGTGAATACCTTTCTCAGGAGGGAGTGCATCACCCTTCCTTCGTGGAAGTGTTTAATTATTATTATTTTTTTTATTTTTATATGCAGTGTGCTGTGGAAAGCCGGAGTTTTCTGTGATGATCGGAGGAGACATAACTGGTATCGACTATAGAGAAATATCGGAACAGATCAAAATTGCAACAAATTTTAATATTTTTCACGTGGTGAAAAAGAAGGATGATGGGTAAATTATAAATGATTATTATTATTTACTCATTATTAAATTACTAATCATGAATTTTTTCAGCTTCGGCTTTGTTCATTTTAAAACACGAAAACAGGCGGCAGAATTCTTTCATCAAACAAAAGAGAAGCTTTATTATTTTGATAAAAAAAGAGGACCAATGAAGTTCCGTGCAGCAAATTACTTTAAAACTAGCCGAAAAGTCGAATACGAATTAGTAAATTTTATTTTATTTATTATTATAACTGTAATTAATCTGGTGATTTTAACGATAAAATAAAAAACTATTTTATGTATTTAGGATGACATTAGGACTAACGAGATCAATAATGGAAGTAATGAGAAGACTAACGAGATCAGAAATGGGAATAATGAGATCAATGGAAGTAATGAGAACGAGATTGACGGTGGGAGTAATGAGAAGATTAACGAGATCAACATAAACTCTAGAAAACGTAAAGTCATCGATATCAGCGATGACGAGAATCCTAATGTGTATGGACTCTTTGAGGATAAGTATGTATCCATCTGACTTTATCTTGTTCAATAATAAAGTCTAACTTTTATATATTATTATAAAGTCATGCATATATCATAATTTTGCACACACCTGGCATCGCGAACAAGTCCGATCTTATAATCTCAACAGTCGATGATAAATTGATTAGTATCGACGGTAATTTTTGTGGTAAGGTAGCTCCCGGAAGAAAAATTATAAGCCTTTTGCCTATCAGACCATTTGAAGTGGAAATAGAGCTTCCAAGCGAGTAAGTTATAACGATATAGTTTTATTATTTTACAATTTCTTACAATTGAGATAATTGAAATATATCTTTTTTAATAGAATCGAAGCTACCTCTGCTAAAGTTGAAATTGAATACGGAATATCAACTATTACATTAAAGAAGAGAGAATAAAAAGGTCCTTAAGCTTTACTAAAGTTAAGGAAAAGTATTTTGGTTATCTAGTACTGTAGATTACCCTCTAGATAGCTGGTTTGTTCTTTTTTCTGAAAAACGAAGAAAAAAGGTTTTTATAGCGCATAAATTTTGTAGGTTAAATATTTCCTGGCAATTATGCAACGCTTTGTTAATCCCTGCAAATAAATAAAAAAATGCTGAATTATAAGGATTAATTGCCTGAAAATATCCATATTCGAAATATTATTTTATTAATACGATCATGTTTTTAGTAGTATTTTAACGCATTTAATATTTTTTATTACTATGTTCAACTGCTCTTCCTATTTCGCGACATACCCTACCAGGTGTTATGGGCGTAGAAAAAATCTTGCATTGTTTGCGAATTCCCTACTGCTTCTATCACAATATGCTGCCCTAAACACTTCCAGATTTCATTTGCTCAATTACCAATCAATCCGGAAATGTCTGAATTTGTCTGTCGAGGAGAAAAGTATAGCCTTGTACTGTAATTTTTTTTTCATTCCTTAGTTTCCCCTGTTATTGACCACGGCGAGTCAGTCGCTAATCGGCGAACCATAATCCATAAACACCCAACCAACAACATCAGGACTCTCACCAAGACTCCACACAGAACATAACAACTATGCTAGCCAACATCCAAAGAGAACTCAACGCAATCAAAGAATCCCTCCGCAATCTGGATGAAAGAATCGAAGGTTT